AAGACATATAGGGTATCATATCTAACAACACCAGACAGCATTCTAGTGAGGCATGAATGATCATAACTATGTTTACTAGCTAGTATCTTGAGCAGAAAAGACAGGTTCACAGAATGGAACTAAGTAAAAAAGAAAAAAAACAGAAGCTTTCAGTAGTAAAAGCGAAACAAATAAAAAGGGAAAACAGAGGCTGTAAGCAAGGCTGTAGTATAAGATAAATCGCCAATGTAGTATTGATGATAAATTCCTTTCTGAAACAGAGAGCAAGACAGAGCCTGATTCTCCCAAGCCACAAGAAACTTCCCTGCTCGATTCCATATCTATGCACGGGCATCCCACGTTAAAGACCAAACCAGTCAGCCCAATGGCAGCGAGTAGATTACATTAAGAAGCTTCATTTTCTAACCCAAAATAAACGTACTTGCCAAGTTACTTCCCTTTTTCCTCTGATCAACAATTACACCTTCCATGGTTCCTTATCTTTCAGACATCAACAAAAACAAAGCAGCTCTATTTATACATCTACTTTTCAATGAGAAGCAAAATGAAATTGAGGCATGTCTTATCTGCCCTTAACCCTTTAGTCACGAAACATCCATAGCATTGTGGTTTCCCCGCGCGTGATCCACCACCTAAGCTGGTCACAGCTATCACACAAAAAAAGGCTTTCGGATTGCGAAACAACCGAAGAGACCACGACCCACATTCAGAAAACAAAAGAAGTGCACGATGTTCGTCAAGACGAAGATCAACGATCCAAACAGACAATTGGACGAAGACCCAGAACTGGTAATAGCGCCAAATGTAAAGACATTGCTATCAGACTAAACAAGAAGAGTTGGTTTCTGCACGTTCCCTCGCATCGGCTTCTGGGCAAAGAGATCAGTTTGCAGAAATCAGTATGCGGAAATGAGAGCCAACTATAGCAAATTACCTCAGGAAGCGTCTCTGGGGATGATGATGATGATGGGAGAGAGGGAGTGCGAGTTCCTGTGAGAGGGAAAATCGAAAGGGAAGAGTATAAATAGCCACGCTGGAAATGAAGAGAGAGAGAGAGAGAGAGAGAGAGAGAGAGAGAGAGAGAGAGAGAGAGAGAGAGAGAGAGAGGAAGAGGAACCGAAAAAGATACAGGGGAAATTACAGAAATGATCCCTGTACTATTGCCACTATTCAATTTTGGTCCCCCTACTTTTATCTTGCAACAAAATTCGTCCCTAAACTAATCTCCGATCACAATTTCACGACAAATTTCGTATTTCTGACATAATGTCGACGTTGATGCTGACTAAGCGTCGGAGATCTAAAAAGAAAGTTAGAAGAGAAATCACGAGGACGATCCTCACACTATCGTCGATGTTTTGTGGTAGATTTAATCCGTGAACCGAATTTTTATCTTGATTTCAAGATATTTGCGTCCAGATGCAGAACAAATATTGTTGAGCAAGTGTAAAAAAGGTTAGCCAGTTCAAGGAAATCCGAAAGATTTATCATGCATGAGCCAGATGCAACGAAACTTACATGTGTGGTTCCAGTCAAGTTTCCTTTATAGGTACCTAATAACCTTGCTTTCGCTAGTTGCTAGCGCATTTGTCCTAACCAGTGCCGATTCATTGCAAACATAACCTAGTATGAGGGACAATTTAGCCTAGAGTCGTGATGCTTCGCCCAGCTCACATGGGCCGATCGCTCGAAAGCAATACTCGTGTGGTGATCATTTAGAAAGAATCGATTTAAATTTTGCACTAACTACAACATGTCTGGGCCACACGTTAATCTTTAGCACTTAGCCAACATTATTTTGCTTGCATTTGGATGAAAAAAATATATTGTCCTAAAATCAAGGCTGAAGATTAGTTTAAGGACCCAAATTGAACAGGAGCACATCATTGGCATCGGTTTTCGTAAATTTTCCCCTCGACCTTTATTTGCCTACACCATGTCCATTTCCGGTGCCTTGTCGGCATTTTCCATGGACATTTGGACAGAATATGGAGTGTGCTAAAAGACCAAATCGGTCGCGAGATAAAATACAGGGACCGAAATTGAATAGTGACAATAGTAGAAGGACCATTTTGTAAATGGCCCAAGAAAAGTGTCTGATAAGTTGTTGGAGTACCCAGCTTCCTTGTGGAGTGCTTGATAGCTTCCTTGAGAAGCTCGTGTGATAGCTTGTTGGGCTCCCCAGGAACTGCGCAGTGCTTGATTGATATATAACGTCCTTGAGAGGGTCTTGTTGTCAATGCCCTTTTTATGACCAAACAAGGAGAATCTCTTCGATTTACCTTTTCCTTTTTGTCATATTTTATTTTCTCTTCCAATTTTATTTTATTTTTTGATCGGGGCTTTTTAGTTTGTTATTTCTTCTCTCGCATTAGGGTAGACAGACATTGTGTGAGTGACAAAAAAAGGAGATCGAGCGGATGGTCGAAACATGAAATGATAAAGAAAGAGGAAACGAATTAGCGGTCGAGAGAATGAGCAGTGAACAAGAGAGAATGGGGGTCCCGAACATTTCTGTATCGTGGAAACTACCGAGTTGGAGTACGACAGGGGCGGAGCGAAGTTCTGGTGGAGAGGTGAAATGCGTAGATAGAGTAGTGAAAGAAGAGAAATGTCCACCAAAAAACGAAACCCTAAATGTATGAAACGAAATTAGATTTAGCACCAAACTACAGGTCAACCATAACAAACACAAGACTCATTCACAACATCTTAACTTCAAGAAAAAAATGGAGAAGGATAAAAAATTGATAATTACCTCTGAACTGTGCTTTCGTCGTTACCAATGGGAGAGAAAGAACCGAGAACGAGATCGATCAAGAGATATAGATAATTTGTGAGGGTGTGTTGAGTTTCGTGCGAGGGGAAAATGTATGGTTAGAACGCATATATACCCACGTACGAAAAAGGTTATGTCCCTTCATTAGAAAGGTGCTATCGTGACAATAAAAGCTTAGACAAATTTATTTAGTGTCGGTGCCACCGTCATTACAAGAGATAAGAACAGAATGCGTTTAATTGGACTGTCCGACTTCTCCGTAATTTCCAACATATTTGAAGTTCGTTGTGTCGTGTACTCCAAAAATTGAACTTGATTAACCATGATATGAGGATACCCAATATGAGGTTATCTCCATATCATTTAGGAAAACTCTTATTGATTTTAAAGTTGACAAAACCTTTTATGTTATTGTAAATCTGATATTTATTCTGAACTATTTTGTTCCAGGTATGTATATATATCTGGAAGCTCAGAAGGAAGTTTTTCAGACTTTACAAGCTGGCAATATAAGAAGCTCATATGTTATTGAAGACCCACACAATCTTAGTTACGAGGCAGCAGACGAGAAGTTATTCGGGCGCAGCACGCGTAAACGCGAGAATTTCTTCGGGACGGACGCGGGAATTTCTTCGGGCACGTAACTCGAACGAAATATAACAGTAGTGATTTGGCATGGATTTCACAGTAGAAAAGTTTTGATTGCCTCAATCTCAATCAAATTGATTGACAATCAAACATTACGACAAGTATGCATTACAACGGACAAAGCTCTACTTATGGAAACCAAGATTCTGATTGTATGGGCGACCAGAATCAGCGAGATTCAGAATTTGTTATCCAACGTCTACTCAATCCTTTCTATACAAATCTGTCCAAGGTGAAGATTGGAAGATGATCCTCTGAAAGCTGTCCAACGGCTAGTTTGGAAGTAGAGGAGTATTTAAGGAGATCAACGAGCAGCAGAAGGAAATACAGAATCAAGAATCAACAAGTCCAAAGTCTGAGCATACTCCGATCATTTCTCTTGTCTTTCTGAGCCAAACATTAAGATCTTGAGGAACACTTTGTAAGAGTGATAGTGTGAGATAGAGAGTCTTATCATACACAAGAGTGTGTCACTCAGAAGTTGTAATTCCTCTTGATTACATAGTGAAATCCAGCCGGTAGGCTGTCAGCGTGGGAAAGTGGACGTAGGCTTGCTATAAGCCAAACCACTATAAACTTGTGCGCAGTTTTTCTATCCCTTATCTTCAAACTGCACATCAAGAGCACTGTCTATATAATCTGTCTTGAATCTGAAGTTTATTCAGACTCAACTGTGATCTTTCATTTCCGCATAAATTGATAAAAATTGTTTAAGATTACCTATTCACCCCCTCTATGCTATCCTTGCTAGCTACAACACATATATTGATTCTCCTAATAAAACTAACATAAAACACGATCCATCTCTCTCAATCATTACTAGTTTCAAATCTAATGTGCTTGTTATATGTAGTTTATCTCTATACATTAATTCTTGTAATAACACTAAAATAAAACAGAATCCCTCTCTGTCAATCATTACTAGATTCGATATCTAGTGTGCTTGTTATATATAGAAAAGAGCAATTGATGGCAGGTTTTGGTGTGCTTTCGTTTATATTATTTCGGATGTCATCTTTGAACTTCACTAAAGTTTGAGACCGGGCAAAAGCCATCAAAAACCTTAAATTATGCTCACTTCGACACATTTACTCTAAACTTTTTTATTTGACACCAAAAATCACAAATTTGTAATCATGTGTCACATTTACCTTCATCAAAATTCTGTAAATAAGAACAGTTAAAAATCTGCATACATTGAGGCAAAAAAGCGAACATTGTTGACATGACGCTTACATGACTTAAGTGAAATAAAAACGTTGTTATTTTTGCTGAAAGATTATCTAATGGAACCTTGACGGAATATAAATGTATTACATGGGTACAAGTTTGGGCATTTTTTATATCACAAGAAAAAAAATTTAGGGTATATGTGTCAGAATGGGTATAATTTGAGGTTTTTGATGTAAAAAAAAAAGCCTGGATAAACGTGTCACAGCGAGCATAATTTGTGACCTTTTGTAATTTTTTTCCTTTTGAGATTTGATCAGGGCGTCGCCGTTCCCAGCACTTTTTACAGATATACAAAACCTAGTAAAGGAAAACAGCTAAATCTACACATCTGCACCCAAAAAACGAAAATGAGTAGCCACACATTGCTATGAAAGATCCATCCTATTAACACCTTGGATCAGCTTTTGATTTTGAGCCTGACAGAGCTTGTGAATATAGTAGCATCGTTCATCACACGCGGCCTCAACTCGACCAGTCTACTCGTCGTAAGTGCTCATGAAGCCGCCGATGAATCCCGCTCCGTTACAGTTTCCGCACAGCATATGCTTCCTGCCTCTGCACATACAAAGATCATGTGTAAAGCTTACAATCCCACCAACAAGAGGAAGATTAACTCGCGGTCTGTCATCTCGTATCAAGCACAAAGCAGGCCAAAAGGACCGGCACGTTTCTAAGTCCGCGTTCTTGAAGATTCGGGAACAGGTTTCTGCGGCCCGAGATTCTCAGTACTGCCCGGGACCGATGTTCGTTTCGGGGGAACTCAGAGCTTACCCACACAGCCAACAAGAGTCGCCGGCTTTGAACTGTCCATTGAAGAGATCCTCAGGGTTCACACCGTCGCCTTTACATTGAGAACACAAGACTGCACCTGCGTATTGACATAACACACGAAATGAAACCATTATTAGATCAGATAGTAAGTTTTCAATGAGGTAATCAGCACGTGAATTGTCTATAAGAATCTATTGGAGAGTTTAAAATCCTATCCATCTCCAATTGATCAAACTTCATAGTATCGTTCTGATGACAATCAACGAAGGTTATCGAAATGAAAGATGCAGATACCGTTGTTAGAGTGGATCTTGTTACTTAGGACGTCTGTATTCTCCCGGTTTGAGATTTTTTTTTAGATGAAAATTATCTTGAAGTAAATGTGTCGTAAAGTAGCAATTTGAGATTTTTTGTGAGGTCGGGGTATATGTGTCATTGTTACCGGTTTAAGATTTTTTGTGAAATGAAAATTAGTTTTGACAAATGTGTCATGAGTACCAATTTGGAAATTTTTAATGGAATTAACCCTTTTTTAAATATCAACTTCTGTTATATTTAACAACAAAAAAACTTATCATAGTATTTACTAATGTTATTTATTTTAATCTACCAACTATTACATGAAATTAGCAATCATTATTTGTGGTAACCAACTCTCATTTGAGTTGCTCACTATCATTTGATTTTTCTTCAAATTTCAATTTTTCTACCAAATTACCACTTTCATTTACCTTACTTATCAAATTATAAATTTTATCAATTCTTTTCTTTAGAAATTACAACCTCAGTTAGAGCAAATACTAATTTTTTTACTCAATCAAGTCTCCAACCAGTTTTGTGTTACCAATATTTATTTGGTTTTTTTGTTTTTAAATTATCAATTCCTCTTATTTTTTACAAACAAAATTCTCTCGTCTTTTACTAACTTTACTTACCTTTCTTCATACCAAAAAAAGAAAAACTTTACTTACCTTTCTTAGTAACGCCTTAAATTTATCGACTGTTAATAAAACTACCGACTTCTTTTATGCGACTCGCCTACTTTTCTTCAATCAAGCGTTGGCAAGTTATAAAAATAAAAGTTGAAAAACTTATACAAAACAGTAATTTGCAAGTTATAAAAAAAGAAAGTTGGTTATGTTATGTCATAAAAGTGTAGATAAGTTTTTGATACCGATAAACCTCCTATTGAAATTTACTAGCACGGAAAAAAATCCGTACTTTTGGGCAGAAAAAAAGAAAGAATTCTGCTTATAGCGCACGTCACATTTAAATTGAAAATTTTTCAGGAGATGCATCTGCGGTCATCCGAGCCTAGGTACTCAAATGGGTAGGTTGGGTTATGCCCAAACTGGAGTCTTAACTTTGTTACCGGCTCGGGCCTGAGCCGGCCGGTGGCAGCCCCGCCCAACTCAGGCAAGCGTAACGCGACTGTTCTAGAGATTATATTCATAGTACTGTGAATTGCAGTGTTGATCAGAACTAGGCGATCTAGGACCCCTGAAGTCACAGTAAAAGAGTATGGTCCCTCTGATGTTCCATCACAGAGCAGCAATGAGCTTACCATTTCCGTCGCAGTCGGCGCAAATCATGCTCCTTGGTTTCGTGCGCCCGTCGTCCTTCGCAGCCTGGACGGGCAAAATCCAAGGAAACTTCGAGTTTACGTCGACCGGGCATGCAGATAAGCAAGACGTGCGGTCCGCATCGAAGTTATAATGAAATCTTTCACCTGAGCTTTCACCAGTCGAAACTTGGCAGCTGGAGGATGATGATGATGGGTGGTGCCATGGTCTCTGGGGCGAAGTTTGTGTGCTGGGACAGGATTGGTCAGCTGATTCTCTGACCATGGAAGCAAATTCATGAGCTGTAGCAAAGCAAATCTCACAGAGAGAGAGAGACAGAGAGACCTGATATTGAGTTGGCATAGCAGGAAGAAGGAGAAGGGCAGCTCCAAGGTGCAGATGCCATGGAAGTGTTGGAGAGCGAGCAAGTTCTTGGTGAGCAATCAAAGTGCTTGTCTCTTTAGCTTCTGAGCCGGGAACCACATAAAGTCATAAAATGTGTCTTTGGAAAAAACACAAACATAGAAGATAATGTCTTCTTCCTTTTTGCCTCTTGGAAAAATATCTTCTAATGAAACAAAGGATTGCGCAATCGGGTCGGGCCGGGTCGGTCGGGCCGGTTTATCCGATCAAGCATAATATTTTATCAATGTGGAGTTACGGGTCCGTAAACGCAATCCGGAGAATTCATTCGAAGCCCTTCGCCGAAGGCGTTTGAGGCTTGGTACTTTTTAGCATGCTATGAATTTGTGGGCGACACTTATAAGTGAATTCAAAGTTATAGTTTAACGATATCTAAAAAGAAAATCAATTATCGTATAGTGTTTTGTCATGTTAAAGATGTTGAAATGTTGCAAAATTTATTGTTGCCACATAAGTCGCTCGGTAATTTTGCGATAATTTTATTTATGCATGTAGCCGTTCCTCCCGCTCTCCTTCGAATAGGTCACTATTTTGTAATTTTTTTGAATCTTCTTGACTCTATTCATCAATTTTTATATAGTTTAAGGTTTTGTTTGTTTCGCGGAAAACATTTTTTGGCGTTTGGTTCATTTAGGAAAATAAGTCAATGGAAACCTATGCTTAAATTCAGGAAAATAATTTCTTTTTTGAAAAGTCAAAAAAACATTTTCCAAAATATGACTAAGAATCAACGCTTAGACCCGAAACTTTACGTTTAGGCATGAAAATCATAACTTTAGTTCTCTGATCTTGGCGTTCAGGACCAAGTCTTCGCCGCCCAACGCCCACGCCCAAGTCCACTGAGGTTGAGCTTGAACCCTTGGTGCCCATGCCTGATTCCCCGACACCTGATCTCGGGCCCATAAAAGCCGTGTTCGGGTCCTTGATGCTCGAGCTCTGGTCCACAAAGGTTGTGCATGGGTCATCGCTGCTCGGGTTCGAGTCCTTGATTAATGAAATGTTAGTTCTTATGAAAAATTTTAAAAAGGAATTCGTATTTTTAATTATTTTCCCAAATCGAATTTTTAATCATCTTTTATTTCTCTCGTTTTCTTTTCCCTCGGCTAGTGGCTGGCCACGGCGACAGCGATTGGCCATAGGTGAGGGACGAGTTCGTCAGCCTCGGCCTTGCCAGATCGGTGAGCTCGTCCCTCGCCTGTGGCCGATCGTTGGCCGTCGCCGTGGCCGACTGTCGATTGAGAAGGAAGGAAAAAGAAAAGTAAAGAAAAGGAAAAAAACAAAAAGGAAAGAAAAAAAATTAAAATTTGGAATTTTACGATAAATCTTTAGATTTTTCGGAAGATATTTTCTAATTCATTTTCAGGCTTCAGCCAAAATACCGGAATATTTTTGTCATTTTTCTGAATAACATTTTCCGCGAAACAACCAGGGTCGCCCCGGTCCGATCATGTCCGGGACTTCTTTTTGGAACGCCAACCCGGGCCCGTCCATTTCCCATTTCGGGCCCGACGGGCTTGGGCGGGGGCCGCCAGCTCATCCGGATCACCTCGCTCCGACGACGTCGTGCCGTAGCAAGTTCGGATCCTGATCCGAACTTGCTATCTTCTTCTTTTTCTCCTTCTTCCTCCTTCTTCTTCTTTCACTTCGTAGAGAGAATTTCCTGCAAATCCGATCTCCCCGACTTCCTTCCCGTCTACTCTTCTTCCCCCTCCTCCTCCGCAGCAGAAGAAGAAGAAGAAGAACCGCAGCTCAACCCTCTTCTCTACACCTCCTCGCCGGTAACCTCTCCCTCTCTCCCTCCCTCTCCCTGTCTCTCTCTCTCTCCGTGCGTGCGCCGAACCCTAATCGGTTGGATCCGGTCGCCCCTCCGCGCCGAAGTAACGCTTCGCCGAAAACCCCCCCCTCGCGTCCGCGGCTGGCGATGGGGGAGACGAGGGACAACGATGCGTACGAGGAGGAGCTCCTCGACTACGAGGAGGAGGAAGACAAGGCCGTGGACCCCGCCTCCGCCAAGGTCAACGGCGAAGCCGCCAAGAAGTGAGTAGCTCGTTTCTCCGCCTCTTTTGCTTTCTTCTCAGGTGCTGCTCAGTACTGGGTGGAGCTTCGCTTTGTGCTGATTGACGCGAGCTCGTTCAGGCGGTGTGGTGTGGTGTTGAATTGGGAGGGTGAGGGTTATATGCATAGAGTAGGGAAAGATGGAAACTTGAGGATTGTGGAGTTCCCCTATGCGGGTGAACGGTTTAGAAAGTTGGGATTTTGGTTTTTTTTTTTTTTTCCTTAAATGTTGGGCTATCGCCATTTCTTTGCGCGGAGAGCTTATTGTAGTTTCCTTGTTGTGTAGGGGTTACGTTGGGATTCACAGCTCGGGTTTCAGAGACTTCCTTTTGAAGCCAGAGTTGCTCCGTGCTATCGTGGACTCGGGCTTCGAGCACCCATCCGAAGGCAAACTTTATACTCATTTGAATTTCTTTTGGTGTTTATGTATCGGTTGTAGCCTAGATTGTTTATGTGTGTGTGTGTGTGTGTCCTTGTTCTATCAGTTCTATATATTTGCATCAACATATTGTGGAAGCAAAGATTGAATGACGGTAGATGGAGGAAAGGATGGAGATGAATGAAAAGTATTCCTTTTCTTTGGATATTTCGATGTGTGAGAGGACTTTTAAGGGAATTTGAATTGTTTTTGTGCTTCTTTCCTGTTTCGATCACTTTCGGAAGGCTTATAAAGCTCTCATGGCAGTTCTGACTGAAAATGATGAATATATCTATTGCTCGTCTTCATCTTTCTCACATCTCACATGGTTTTCCCCTTTTGATTTCTTCTGTATTCACCTGCCAAGCATATTGAGGAATTTGTTCTATTGTGGATGTTTCTTCTAAATTTTTATAGTTTTTGGATCACTATGCTTCCGAAAGGAAATTGAGGCGATTAATTAACTTTTCCCTGGAGAAGAAGATAGCTTCGACTTGCATGAGTGCCTGGGTTTGGCCCATGAACTTTAGTTTTCCTGTGATTTGCCCCTCTTCAGAATTGGCATTCCGTGCCACGCTCAGTCTCTCATGCTTCTTAACATCTAAACTTTCAGGTAATATTCTAGCATCACAATCTTTCAGCGAAAAAGTTATGGTGGTAATCCTTTCAAGTGAAAGGGGCAGGAACATAATATTTACTTACCAAGGGTTCCTTCGATGCAACTTTCTTTGATTCATCAGTCCAACATGAATGCATTCCTCAAGCTATATTGGGTATGGATGTCATATGCCAAGCAAAATCTGGGATGGGGAAAACCGCTGTTTTTGTGCTGTCAACTTTGCAACAAATTGAAACGGTTGCTGGGCAAGTTGCTGCACTTGTTCTCTGTCACACTAGGGAGTTAGCCTATCAGGTACGTTTAATTATCTTACCATGTTTCAACTTAATGAGGAAAACAAGTTTGTTATTTTCAATCCTCTTTATTGATGATTTTGTTCTGTCAGTAGGTGATTGTGAGGTTTTTCCTCTATCTTGCACTCGCAATCCTTTTGAGATAGTCATTCTTTGTTGTTGTCTAGATCTGTCACGAGTTTGAGAGGTTCAGTAAGTATTTGCCAGATATCAAGATTGCAGTCTTTTATGGTGGCGTCAATGTCAGAATCCACAAGGAGCTGCTGAAGAATGAATGCCCCCATATTGTTGTCGGCACACCTGGCAGAATTTTGGCTCTGGCAAGGGACAAGGACCTTTCTTTAAAGAATGTTAGGCATTTCATCCTTGATGAGTGTGACAAGATGCTCGAATCTCTCGGTACGAGGTTTCTGGTAATTTATGTATTTCTAGAAAAAAAGAAAGAAGCTCTGCCTTCTGATAGTATTAAGTTGATGATTCTTCTTTCAAGCATTATGTTGCAGCTTAGATAGTATGGATATTGTTTGTATTGTATGCAGACATGAGGAGAGATGTGCAGGAGATATTCAAGATGACGCCTCATGATAAGCAAGTCATGATGTTTTCAGCAACGCTCAGCAAAGAAATCCGCCCAGTTTGCCAGAAGTTTATGCAAGATGTAATGTCTCATCACCATTATAACTTGAATTTGAAGTCTAACTTGATATTAGCAGCTTTTTTTGCGGCTAGAGTAGATGTTTGCAGCATGGCAACTCCATGTTCCCCCTGCAAGTTGCGTGTGTGGCTCCGATCTGCTGTATCTTTAACTTCATGACGCGGAATATCCGGCTCGATGGGGGAAATTGGTGGAAAGTTAAGAATGTCAACCATGAAGGGTGGGACTATTCCAGTGAAGCTTCTGTTTGCTTTTCTTTGTTGTTCTGGGCATCTTTGATGTTTTCTTCTGATGGTTCAGTCATAGCATGGTTTTAAGGTGGGCGTTTTCCTCCTCCCGTTTTCCTGGGCGAAGTGGTTGGATTAGTTCACTCTTTGTTTTTTTATTTCTTTTTTTCTTCCTTGTTTTGGGTGGGGGAGAGAGAGGGGGGGGGGGGTTGTTGGTGGGGGCTTGATGGTTGCGGTGATGGGAATATTATTGGGGTGGTTAAATTGAAACCTGAATTTGTCAAGAACAACTTCAGCTTGCTGCGACGGTGGAGCGCTCGATAAGCAGGCAAATCAGATGGACCAGAACCGCAATTCAATGGATGATGCATTGTTCAATTCGTAGTGGCTTCTCCTAGCTTGAGGAAGGCGTTTAATCTGATTTACTGAATTTGCTGACGTTTGTTCCTTTCAGCCTATGGAAATATATGTTGATGAGGCCAAGTTGACCCTTCACGGTCTTGTACAGGTATTATAGAGTTCAATTTTTCTTGTGTAGCTCCTTTTCGTGGAGTTAGATATCCAGTGTTCTGACTGAAAATCACGCTCAATTGTCAGCACTACATCAAATTAAGTGAAGGGGAGAAAAATCGCAAGCTAAATGACCTTCTTGATGCATTGGACTTCAACCAAGTCGTAATCTTCGTCAAAAGTGTCAACCGAGCAGCTGAGTTAAACAAGTTACTTGTGGATTGCAACTTTCCTTCTATATGCATCCATTCTGGCATGTCACAGGAGGAAAGGTTCCCCTCTCTCTCTCTCTCTCTCTCTCTCTCTCTCTCTCTCTGTGCGTGCTTAT